GGGCCAAAAAGGAAAAAAGGGGGGGGGGGGGGGGGGGGGGGGGGGGGGATTTCGCGAAAGGGCAAAACGCCTTTATTCTGTTTTACAAACACAATGGATGGCCCTTTCTACGTAAACATATTACGGACTCAGTTTTTGCCAGCCGCCTAAAGAATGTATGGCAGAAACTGGCGTTTACAACAAGACAATGATCCAAAGCACACATCACGTGTCGCTAAGGAATTCATGGGATTCGAGTTATAGACTGGCCATCCAATAGCCCAGACTTGAATCCCATTGAAAAACATGTGGCACATGATAAAAAACAACGTTGAAAAACGTATGCCAAAAAATATTGAGGAATTGAAAAAGTTATGGTTGAGGAATGGGATGCGATCTCGGATGAGACAGTGAATAATTTGGTGCTATCAATGGCATTTTTTCTGAAGGCAATTATTTTCGTTACACACTGTAGTTACATAAGGGGAAGGTTAAAGTGAAGTAGTGCAACTAATGATAAAATTCATTAGAAATTATGATAATCAAACGATACCTAAAATTTTGCGCCGAGTATTTTTACTTAAGAGAAAGCTGATAATCATACAGTGAGCTAGACATCTAATGACCTATGTTTCAAAATTTTATTTTTATCTTAAGAAAATCAGCCTTCGATCTGAAAATTTTGGGTTCGGAACCAATAAAATCACAGAAAATTTTACCACAGATTCGCATATTTCAATTCTAACACTATTGTTGAAACTTCGCTTCCTATGTCAGTTTAGTCAAAATAATAAAAAGATCACGTGCTAATTTAAAACAGCCATTTATATATTTCAAAGCGCGCAAGAAAAACTGTGCCAGGTTTTGTTAAGATTCCGGGTTGAACATGTGATTGCCGGGCTAATAAAAAATTTAAGCATCCTTATTGGTTGTTGCTGGTTGAGGATTGACAAAACCCTGGCACAGACTTCTTGATATATAATCTATTGTTAAAGACACTTGTATAAGATAATAATTAAACAGCTCGCGTTACAACAAACTTATTTTCTCCATTTTTGAAACAATAAGCATTACATACTTTATTAAATCACCAGACTAATACATTGAACTTTATTATTACTCAAAGTGCTTAAAGATGGATTCGAGAGGTATTTATCAATTCTTAACCATTTTATACGCGTCTATTGCGCGTGTTCCTTTTTGATAGATAGGTATTCAAGCTAACTAAAATTTTTACCAGATTCTTCCTCAAAAACCAAATCAAAAACGAAAAGAAATCCTTCAAGCAAAAGCTCTCGTGTGGTTTCAACACGGAGAAAGAAACTACCAAGAGTCAAACAAGTAATTCCGGGTCCTGATAACTTGGAAGAGTCTAAAGATCAAACATTATTGCCTCAAACAAATGCCGTGGCTTTAGACCCGTCTCCATCAATAAATCCTCAACCTTCTTCTCCTTCCACCCCAGCTTCCACACCTGCGAAACGAAAACCGGGTCGCCCTCGTTCTCATGCCAACGGGGGTTCTAGTAAACAGCGAAGACAAATAGGTCTTGAGGAAGAACAGAAAACAGATTCGCCAGAAAAGTCAAACTATGCCGAGGCAGAAAGTGAGATTGATGAACAAGGCGAACTAAAAGTTACTAAAGATGGTGAATTACTGGGTGGTAAGTGTAATTGTATACCGCGTACTATCAAAAAAATATATTTCTATAAAAATAACTTTCATCTATTGCATCTTTGTCCAGGCAGAAAATATAAGCTGCCAGTTTTTCAGCTTTCAACTCGTGGAAACACGTGGTTTATGTTATCAATGGATCCAGCAAAATTATTAGGGTTTCGTGATAGCTATCTTTTCTTTTTAAGAAATCCTTCATTAAGGAGAATCTATGCAACTGATGCCGAACGTGATGAATTAATTCAACGTGGGATTTTGATAACAAATTTCCGTAATCGACAAATTGCACTAGTGTCTGCGCGTTCTACATTCAAGTTATTTGGACATCAAGTGGTTGAAGATGGAAAAAGAGGCGTGGACGATTATTCGGAATCAACTCACATAGTTACATATGAAAATCCAATAAAAGAGAATAGTGAAGATCCACCATCAAACACGTTTCCTGATATATTATCGAAACGAGCTACCGCGAATGCGCCAGCGGTAAAAGTAAACGATATTAATTGGCTGCACGAAAGCGCGTTATCAGTAAGGGAGTTCAATGCACGATTAAAAATTCATAGAAAAGATAAGACGCCTTTTTATGATATTCATACAAACATTGAACAAGTGCCTAAAGCTACTCAGCCTACTCGTATTAGAGTTGAGAAAGTTGAAGTGCCTCCTTGCTCATCTCCATCATTGTCATCATCAGATCAAAGAGAATCTGCGGTGGAAAATGAAGTTCATTTTAAATACGATAGCTTTAATCACAATTTGAAATCAATCGATAAAGATGTTTTGGAGGTTGTTCCTCCAGATATTCGAAACATTATAAATTCATATCTAAAGCAAGAACCTCCCGAGGAAGATGACAAACATCCGTTGGCTTTAATGGATGATCAATTTCAATCAACTTATCCATTGTAAGGTTTATTGATAATTTATTTAGAAAATCAAATATCAAATATGTTTAAGATTTAAGATTTATGTTATGTTTGAATATTTTACAGACATCGAACCCGTTTCAACAAAATTCTTCCTAAAATTCCGACATTTTCGCAATCAATTACTTATCCTATGCATGTTCCATTACCGATGAATACCAATTATAATCAACTGCAGCAACGCCATTACCAACAACCACAATATTATCCTCAACAATACCAACAAAACCCATATTATCAAAGTTATCCACATCAACCTCCTCCTCCTCTTCCATCTCAGCCTCAACATTATAACTACTCAATCCCACCAACTCGGGCTGGGCGTCATACTGAATCGAGTCAATACACTGTAAGAAAGTATTATTATTTATTCTTATAGAATCTATTTCTCATTTTCGATATTAATTTTAAAAAATCTTACATACAAAAAGCATTATAAAAGTGCACCTCAATTTCTATGTGGCGTCCTTACAGCTAGCACGGGACAACCTTGCAGGCGTAGTGTTTCTTTTGAAGGTGAAAGATGCCAATTTCATAAGCATCTGGTTGATACACCAAATCGACAAAACAATCCCCCTGTCAATGTTACCCCCAGACCAAATTCATACGTACCAGTGGTATTTATTTTATATTCGCATGATAATATTTTGTCCCAAATATAGATTCATAATCTCATAATTTTTTTCTATAATAATTTAGTCACAAGCGCCAACACCGCCTCCAGCTGTGCCTAGTACCTGTGTATTTTGTCATAATTCAACATGCCCAGAGGAAAAATCTTCAGGAGCGCCTTGTTCTTCAGATCACATGATAAAATGCGCCAAATGTTTGCGTAATTATCATCCGTTATGTTTGGGACTGAAAACACCAAAACTCATTGCCGCTCTGGAAAGTTATCCTTGGCAATGTAATGATTGTAAATTATGTGTAGTATGTCGAACTTCGGGTGATGAAGCATCATTGCTAATATGTGACGATTGTGATCGTGGTTGGCATACTGGATGCTGTGTACCTATAGTGACGCACGTACCACAGGGTAGAAACAAGTTCATTAAGTCCATTTTGTATTGATAGTTTTAACTGATTTATTAACTAATTACCTTTTTTTTAATGTTTGCGAAAAGGGAATTGGCTGTGCTCCATATGTGCAAAATGTCATTCTTGTGAGAAAAAGGTATCATCTCACAGTAATGAAGATGATACAAACAAATTTATTTCAGCAACAATACCTCCACAATCTGATCAGATCAAATATTCTATTTACTTGGCTTCCTATTGCACCAAATGCTATGATAACTTTATTGCCGATCGATTCTGTCCTCTTTGTTTAAAGACTTATTCGGGTGAAGGGGATGAAAATGAAGGCGATGATGACAATGACATGGTGTGTTGTGATCGATGCGACCGGTGGATACATTGTGGCTGTGATGAAATACTTACTCCAAAAAAATACCAAGAATTGGTTGAAGATGCAGACGCGAATTATCAGTGTCCTCTTTGTGACAAACGTATTGTACCTTTTAAAAATATTAGTGAGTCACAATTAGCTGCTTTGTCTGGCAAAATACCACCAGTAGCCACTCCTGTCGCGAAAATTGCCGGAACTAGGGAAATTCGTGGTATTGTTGGATATAAAGAAAAAATTATTGGAGTTCCGCCAATCAGCGGATGGGGGACTGAAGATGGGAGAAGAACAGGATAGTGGTTTTTAATGTTAATTATAAGCGGTGATTTTAAAACAATAATAATCCTAATTGTTGTAATTAGCTATCTAATAATAATAATACCGATCGACACAAATTTTTGGTATTGATTAATTGATTAGTAAAAAATCTGCGACGATTGATTAAAAAACTCAGTACCCCCAATAAATGTGAACCTATTTTGATTTTGGTCATTGGTCAAAATAAAGACAGATATAAATCTAATAATTACATTTTAAGTGTGTTCTGTTCTATGATGGGTATAATACTTGTTCATTTAAACGGGATCGGGGAGGTAAGGCAGCTGTGAATAGACAATTATAAGTTCAGTGATGCAAGGTATTTTAATGAATGCACATCAAAATAGGTGTAGGTATGATTTCCTATCCTATGTATAATCATCTCTATTATTTATTAAATAGATTGTATTTTTATTATGATTCTCAGTCTAACCAAACGGATTTGTAGGTTTAGGTTGAATGCTCAATAATAAACCGAAAATATAATATATACATGGAAATATGGTGAAAATTGAGGCTTTTATTATTTTATTAACAAAAAAAAATTATAGAATCATAATCTCTATTGATAAAAAACTATATAAAAGTGTATTTGTATTTATTATGATGATGATTTATTATAAGATAACGCCATAAGGACGGTGAAAAGTATTGTAGTGTCTGGGGGTGATTTACTTACAATAAAAAAGGGAAGACACAAAATTTTTCTAATTTTTACTACACGAAAAAAAAATCATTTCCGCACGCGGTAGAAATCTCGATCTTCGTAATAAAAAAAGTTCAAATTTCGCGGCGGTTTTTGAGAAAAAATAATGAAAGAGAAATAAATGAATGAAATTAAATTTATCGTGCGTATTAGTTTTGTTGTCGAATAGGATGTTAAAAATTAAGAAAAAGTCATCATGAACTTCCCCCGCATGAAGAATAAAAATAATAAAATAAATATCTACAAATTAAAATTTACAAATTTTTGAGCTCTAACGAGCAAAATAAATGGAAAAAAAATCAAATAAATGTCTTTTAATAAACATCAAAGTCCATTCCACGTAGAATAATTCCGCAGCAACGTCCTTTTATTAAATTGCGAAAGAAAAAAGCACCTCGACTCATATCTTGCAAATTAGAAAGTTTTTTATCCTCCTCAAATACACACAGCCTTAATGAATATAATGAAATAAGATATAGGCAATATTTTTGTCATAAAGGTGTGTACGTGTCCGCAGATAATAAAGTTCATATTTTCGACTTACTCAAATAAAGAAAAAGAAATTATTTTTGGTCGATTCCAGCTTCCGAAGCTTCAAGCTTCGCATAGAGAGCGATCAACTTGGCCGCCTCAATTTCTTTTGGCCAGAAATAGGTGACGAAGTGCCAAAGTGCTTCATGCATTTCGTCCTGTTGTGCAGCAGGTTTGGTGTCGAGAACAGCTTTGATTCTTGCTCCGATCTGCAAAAGCGATGCCTTTATTAACTTTACTTTCTTATCTTTATCTTTGAGTTGGCCAGATTCCTATCAATTAAAAAAAATGGTGGGAATTCAGAGTTGATTGATGATGTCAAAATATAACAAGATACAAATAAATCTTTGAAAAATATATACATTTTTTAAGGCCTGTAATTGCCTTTTAACTGGACGTAAATGCTCCTTGCATTCACGATCAATAGGACCAAGTTCATCTGCTTCTTCTTCGCGATGCTCGAAAGTCTTGTTACTCCTTATTCTTTTAGATCGTAAAGGTGATGTAGTAGATTGTGCGGCTTCATCTTCATCTCTGTTAAGACGATGCTTTGACCGCTTGACCTTTGATGAAAAATAATTAATAAAAGCGTCATAACTAATTAATGTAGGATTTACAATAAATAATTTATGTATTTACTTTTCTTGTAGGCTCCTCAATATCTTGATCACGTAAAGCTTTCAATAAATATTCAGTTCGGCGAACCACCTTCGCCGTCTGTTTAGCAGATGATGGTGCATCATCGTCGTGATCTTCATCGCTGAGTTTTCGAGAAAGACCCAAACTCGAGTCTTCTTTGATCGATCTCCAGCTACCAAATCCATGTTTATAAACTCCAGCAAGAAGCATCGCGTCTTCTTTATCACTCCACGTCGATGACCAGTTATTTACAGGCTTTAGACTGATATTGAACCTGAATTTTTCTGGGGAAGTCAAAACTATATATTATAATCAATAGAGTCATATTAGCTCAATGTATGTTTAATATTGAAAATGTATCGATAAAGAAAACTAAACTTACCAGAGATGTGTTCGTGAAGACACCTTAAGTCGCTGACCCGTTGCACCAATTGACCCGCATTAATTTTTTCTACTCCATTCCATGACACATGGGTTACTTTTCCTTTTATTATGTTTCTATTTGCCCCATTGGAAGAGCTTTCGACATTCCCATTACCACGAATTTCTGTGCTTCTCATTGCTTGTTCACATACCCAATATATATCGTCATAACAAGTTAATAGCATCTCTTTGTCCTTATAGGAGAGGTCAGCTTCTCGGACCACTTCGTCATACCGTATATGCATGTCTCCAAATTTCATTATACCTCTTATTAGAGCACGTGCCTCTTTAACAGTAAGATCACGATGGGCTATCGGTTTTTTCTTGGACCCTCCCGGTGATTCGGAAGACTTTTGCTTCTTATTTCCTTTTTGTTTGAGTACAAGTTTTCCTTTACCTTTTCCATTAGTCAAATTATTAACAGCAGATCGTTTGAGTCCAGATTTTGACTGATATTCTTCTTCTTCAGCAGAATAGTCTTTATCATCGCCGTTCTGACTACCGTTAAGGAATTTTTGTCGTTCGTGTTCTGGTATTATTTCATCCCAGTTCAAGTCACCACCATCGTAATCTGCTATCCTAAATTGTTTTAAAAATTCTTCACCGCCATAACTACTTCCGGACTGTGCGCCTATTGTATCATGGGTTTCAGCACGAGCAAGTATGTCGTCCAGGTCCATGTCATCAAGTTTCTTTTGATTCTCGTTCTCTTTGAACATGTTTTGCGCCCCGAATTTCAAAACTGCATGTAGTTCTTCTCGTGTTAAGGGTTTATTTGAATTAGTGTTAGTGGTCTGCTCCCTTTTATTTTTTGGAAGAAAGCCCAACCCTGAAGTGTCCATCTGTTTTATGATGCAATATTCGAGCACCATTTTGCGCTTAGCGCTTTCCAAAATGCTTTCTTCTATCGTATCTTTTGAGACGAATCGATAAACATTAACATGATTCTTTTGTCCGATACGATGAGCGCGTGCCATTGCTTGCAAATCAGCTTGAGGGTTCTAAATTATAAATATTAACAAATATAGTACCGTTAAGTATATGAAAACGCAAGATAACACAGTGAATCACATAGGTTAACCAACTATTGGGAATAACTTACCCAGTCGGAATCAAATATAATCACAGTATCTGCCGTGCTAAGATTAATACCCAATCCACCGGCTCGAGTCGAAAGTAGAAATACAAAATCCTGCGAGTCTGGCGCATTGAAATGTTCAATAGCCCGTTTACGGGCATACGAAGAAACACCTCCGTCTAACCTTTGATAGGGATATCCTTTAAGTATAAGGTAATCATTCAAAATATCCAGTAGTTTAACCATTTGCGAAAAGATTAGCACACGATGATTTGATTCACGTAATCTCGTCAACAATTTATCCAATAGCACCATCTTTCCACTATTCATGATTAGGCCGCGCAATTGTTCTTCCGGTGTCGTGGAGCTAGGATGAGGTTCGTTACCGGGTAGTAAGTACGGGTGATTACTAGCTTTCTTTAACTCGGCAGTTATGTTAAGTAAGGTCATTTGATTTGATCCGGTAATTCCTTTATTTAATACCTCAAAGTCACGTGTGTATATATGTTTATATAAATGTAGTTGAAGAGGAGATAAGCCAACCCGTAGAATGCGTTCTGTTTTCTGTGGTAGTGATTTCTCGACATCTTTCTTTAAGCGTCGAAGCATATAAGGTTCAAGTTGTTCGTGAAGGTCTCGTATCTTCTCTTCTTGTTCTGCATCGGGTGATTCAAGATCAATATCGTCTTCTTTGTCGAAATTAGGCATCAAAAATTTGAGTAGTGCGTATAGTTCTTTTAGTGAATTTTGCAGTGGAGTTCCAGTGATTAATAGTCGATTTGCCGTATTAAATGATGCAAGAACCTCATGAAGTTGAGATTCGCTGTTTTTTAGTCGATGTGCTTCATCCACAGCGAGATATTGCCATTTGATATTCCCAAGTACATCTCGATCTTTTAATACAAACTCGTATGTGGTGAGAAGTACATTAAACTTTATCCGTGATTTTGACGCTGGAATAAAGAATTCATGTTCTCTAATAACCTCCCGCGCTTTTCCGGGACCAATATAACAAACGACATTCAGTTCTGGTGCCCATGTCTCGAACTCTTGTTGCCAGGATCCGATTGTAGATAAAGGAACGACAACTAGGAAAGGACCGAATTGATTGTGTTGGTGAAAGAGATATGATAAGAAAGAAATTGTCTGTACAGTTTTTCCAAGACCCATCTCATCGGCCAAAATTCCATTTTGATTTTTAGACCACAAATGTGCTAGCCAATTTAGGCCTGTCAGTTGAAAATCTCGTAGGTCACCGCCAGTTAAGTAAGATGGTTGGGAGGACAATAATTTGAATTTAGGCCGGCTTTCTCTACTGTATTTGGTGCTTAAGTGTGGAAGTCTACGACTGTTGGATCTTTCATTGAAAGCATCAATCTCCACTTGGAATTTTTCCTCAATAAGCTCGGCCTTCTCCCAGGTACAATCAAGATACGATAGACCTTTGAATTTGCAAAAGTAATATGTCTGTGTAGGTCCTGACTCATCGTCTGTGTGGCTATTGCCGGTTTTCTGCGCGACAATAC